AGGGCAGTATTCCCCATAACAGTACATAGGACCCTTTGGGAAGGGTTCCTTTAAATGAGCCCTTTGCGGCCGAAGGCTCGGCATTCTGTGAGGCGCGGCTCCCCGCACCGGACCCAAAGGCGGCAGCGAGGAGCGCAAGAGAAAGCTCCCACTGGCCGCCCTTCCTTCGGTTTTCGGGTTTTAGGGAGTTTAGGGCTTTAAGGTTTTAGGGTTTTAAGGAGTTAGGGTGCCCCCTAAACCGTCAACATCGCTTAACCCTCAACTCACATGACAGCCATGTCGCTCGCAGGCGCTGATGACGGCTGTGTAGGTGATCTCATTCGGACAAAGGGTCGTCTGGACACCTGGGAGGAGCAGAATCGGATTGGGGTTTAGGGATTAGGGTTCACCTGAACCCGAACACAAACCTACGTATTTAGGGGCTTAGTTATGCAAGCAAGTCATAAACACGAACCCCAAAAAAAGGTGGATTTTACAGATTTTAAGGGTTCAGGTAAGGGGGAGTCGGAAATGCTAAGGTTTGCGGCAGGCCGCAATTTAAGGTTTCGAGTCTTAACTCGGCCAACTGAGTCCCACTTCCTGCTTTCTGGCTGTTGGAACCACAAGGCCCCAAAAGTCTCTGAACAATGACTAGGATACCCAGTAACCTAAGAATAAAAAAGCCTCTCTTTTTGGTATTGCGTTCAATTTAGAAGGAACCTAGGACTACAAAAAGGGAATAAGGGTACTACTGGGCATCCTAGATGAGTAATTGCAATGAACCCTTCAGGTTACGCATTCTCGAGAGTGTGGCTACTGGGGTGTGGATGTGCCTGCTCTAAAAAACACAAGCAAGTCACTGTTGTTGACCACCGTGAGATTCGGCCGCAGGGTTTAAGGTTATTGCTATTGACCCCCGTGGGAATTGGGCGCAACGGCGCAAGACACAGCAGCCCTTTCATTCTTGCGCCATGCTGGACTGCGGGACTGCCAGGAATAATGCTACAGCAGCACAACATCCGGACTTCTGCGTCAGTCGAGCCCTTGCAAGACATGTTTTTGGCCGCCTCGGGCGTCACTGGCAATGGCTGTTTTGAATTGCAAGACCTGGTCATGCCTTCGGCATGCCTCTCCCCTTGCACATCGAACGGGACTGATGTACAAAAGGATGTGCCGTTGCAGAAGCTTAACTGGACTCTTAAGTAACCAGGGACCAAAAAGTATAGACGTTTTTTTTGTTTTATAAAGGTTCCTGTAAGACAAAAGTAGTAAAGTATGGTTCTCCAAAGCCCAGTAACGTTTCTGCTGAACACATGCAGCGTCTGGGCTGAAAGCAATTGACATTTGAGCCCTTAGAGCTTTCGAAAACCCGATAACACTACCCAGAGAGCCCAAACCCCCTTAATTAAGGAATATACCTTAAACTACCGGGGGCTTAATATTATGATCAAGCGTATATAACTTAATTCAAGGGTATTGGGATCTCAAGGTACACCCTGATGATGCGCCCTAAACTCAAGCCCTATTTAGGCTGTCAGGCCACTTCGGCATGTCCTTCTCTATGCACATCGACAAGGGCTGATGTACCAAAGACGCGCCATTGCATACCCAGATGATTCAATATCACCCAGATACATAAATCCTATCAGAGATCCGGATCTAGTTTAAGCTATTTTTCCTTCATTACGGGGTATCAGAACACCACGGGCGGCTCTTGATAGGCTCGGCTGCGCGTGCCCCACTTGTGAGGCAACCTGTCAGCAAGCTGCGAAATATGTTCCCCCAAAAAGAACTTAACCCAGGGGGCTGCCTCGCTCGCTGCTGCCAGAGATGCTACCCCAGCATCTCCGATCATGTGACACTCGAAGAGCTCGAATGATATCAGTTCTCTGCATTTCAGAGCCGCTGCAGCCAGAGATGCTGCCCCCGCATCTCCGATGTTGTCGCTTCCTACTCGAATCCACATCAGCCCCTTGCATTGCAGAACTGCGGCAGCCAGAGCCTCTGCCCCGGCATCTCCGATATTGTCACTTGCCACGTCAATACTGTACAGCTCCTTATTGCAGCTGGCGATTGCAGCGGCAAGAGCTGCAGCACCGGCATCACCAATCCCATCCCCCTCCACTTTCAAGCGGCCTAGCTTCTCAGGACGAAGACGTTCAAGGCTGCGTGCCAGTTCCAAAATGCTATGCCCGAAGTTGAAGCCCCCAGCAGGTGATCCTATGACGAGTTCCTCCAGATTCACGAAATGTGGCAATGCCGTCGCCAATATCGACAACTCGTGCAGGGGCAAGGAACATGCTTCAAGTCTTTTGCGTTGTCTGGCATGCTGCAGGAAGACTTCCTCCTGCAGTAGACTCACCAATTTTGCATCAGAGCGGTGTGTAAATTTCAAGGGCAACCCATCTGCAAGTCCCTGCTCGCCACGCGCCACCCGCTCCTGAAAAACTGCTGGGGGCATGGGAGAGCAACCAAACACCACGTCTTTCGTGCTCATCCACTGAACTTCAGCCACACACCACCCCCTTTGGGAGTAAGGCGTGCTGTTCAGGACCAGCTCACTTAGAGGCCTTGCCTCAAACTTGTCAGTCCCCTCGCAGTACATGTCTATAGAACCCTCGAGTGACTTCTCGCTCTCGGGGGTTAGCTCCTCCAAACGAATCACGCGACGAACGGTCCGATGGGCATACAGCAAATGCATGGACATCATGGCTCGTTGGAAGAACTGCTGCTCATGCGCATTGCGCTTGTACTGATGCAGGCACACAAAATCAATGAATACCCAATAATGAAGATGACACTGCTCTGCATAGCGTTTGAGCATCTCACGAGACGCAAGATTGGTGTCAATGAATTGCAAGAGACTTCGCAGCTGCCAGCCCCATGGGTCCGGATGCTGCTGAGACTCCCACACATGCGACACGGATAAGATCTTCCTGTTGCACTGATTGGGGTCAATGCCTTCATGTTCTTGCAAAAGCCTCAAGCAGGGATCCTGTAGTTCCTCCATCGTCACCAATGCTGTTCGCATCGTGCCATCTGCAGCCTCGAACTCTTCGCTCTCCGCCTCCTGGCGCCGTGGCCAGACACGGCCGGCATCCGCAAGCTTGAAAAGGTACTCTAGTCGCACCAATCGGATGTTGGCATCGACCAAGAAGTTCTGGAGATGCTTCGGGTCTGTCAAACTGTACTCCTTTGCTTCCTCATGCACTGCAGCTGTCTCGCCATCTGCTTGGATGGAAGACTTCACAGCGCCATGGACATGCAAGGCAGTGAGGTTCTTGACGTAGGATCTTGCGATCTGCGACGCCACTTCTTTCTCCAGCTCCGTGGCAGCCTCGATATGATACCGCTCATGCTGCAGTGAAGCCCCGCAGTCCATCAGCTTGGATCTGGGAGTCCCAGCACAAAAAAGTTAAGCATGAAATTCAAGTAAGAAACAAGAGACCAAATGTTTAGATGTCATATACCAAGGTAAACAAAACTCCAGCTGCCACATGCTTGCGAAGGCAAACATGTCTAGAGCTCATCTACTGCGGGTGATGTGTTGCCGACAGATCATTTGCAGTTGCCCGCTTTTGTACTGTAGTAGCTGAAGCTGACAGAAGCTGCATCTGCGTTGCCATGCTTTCTAAGAAAGCTCGTGCAGGCATACTTAGAGGATGCAAACTCCGTCGCGTCCAGTAATCCAGCAAACCCTGCAAGAACATCAGCCCACCGGAAACAATATTCACTGTTCACTTTCTTATTTTTCCTTTGGACTCCTTGGGTTTTCGGGCTCTCAGAAATCCCCTAAACCCTAAACCCTATAACCCTAAACTTGGGGCTCCACCTGCTTCGTGCGCTATGGCTTAGCTTCGGGTTTGTTGGGTTTGGCCATGCAGCCTAAGTATAGGATCCTTAAGGGAGGGTGGTTCAAGGGGGGAGGGTATCTCATCTAGGATACCCGGTAACCTAAGAATAAAAAGGCCTCTCTTTTTGGTATTGGGTAACTTTATAAGGAACCTAGGACTACAAAAAGGGAATAAGGGTACTACTGGGCATCCTAGGTATAAGGAATCCTTAGGGGACTGTAAGGGAACCTTAGGGAGTACTAGGGAGAATTAGGGTTCACTAGACTATATACCCCCCTTGGACCCCCCTCCCTTAAGGATACTACAACCTAAGGGCCAAGGAAACCTCAACACTCCAAGCGTAAAAGGAGGGAACCTTACTAAGGACCCCTGGTATATACCCTTAACATAGCTATTATATACCCATTATATAGCCCACTATAGGGTAGGGGTCCCCATTAAGGGTCCCTCCTTTTCCCCATTGAAACACGATTCCCAAAAACTAATCTAAAAACCACTGTCCCTAGGAGCCTCGGGCGGTCAGGCATGGTGCCAGCGGCTGCTGTTCCCACAACTTCGGCTTCCGAAAGCTTAGCGTTGAGGGCGTTCAGGGTTTGGGGATGGGTTTGGGGATTGGCCTGTTTCAATGGGGTTGCCTGCCGGTTGGAGCCACAACTGAAGCCAGAACTAATCACCCAAACCTACATCTCAACCCTAAAGCCCTTACAAATCAGCATTGCCATACAACCCGGAGTCATGCTGCCAAGCCGAGGAACTCACAAGGTCCGACAACACTATAACGGCTGATTGAAAATTAAGGAATATGTTTCAGGCTTCTCTTCGGTGGGTTCCTTTGAGAATTCCGGTAAGACCCAACGACAGAACAGCAGACCCAACCGATTTTTTTCACGCGAGCCTTGGGCTCACACACGCGTCATCGAGTATAGAGCTTTGTGCATAGTATCCATCGCTGTTCCTTTCCTTTTGCTTCAGCGACTCTATGGTTGGAATGCTAACATAGGCCATCAAGGTACCCAACACAAGAAACTACACTGGAGACTACGTATCGGTATGGGCATAGGGTTCAGGCCTATCCTGGCCATGCCTTTGGCATGCCCTCCTCCTTGCTTAACAGACGGGGTCTGTTTTAAAATGATGCGCAGGTTTCTTCAGTCATGCCAGAAGGACTCATTCGAAATCTATGATAAAACCTTGGGTACGATTGCCCCACTTGTGATTCAGCCGATGAGCAAGCTGTGAAACATGTTGTCCCATCGCGAACTCTACCCATGGGGCTGCTAGGCTCGCTGCCGCCAGAGCTGCTACCCCCACATCCCCGATCATGTGACACTCGCGGAGCTCGAAGCGGGTCAGCTTCTTGCATTCCAGAACTGCTGCAGCGAGAGATGCTGCCCCAGCATCTCCGATGTCGTCACTGGCTATGTAAAGCCATGATAGCTCCTTGCACTTGGCGACTGCAGCGGCAAGAGCTGCAGCACCGGAATCACCAATCCCATCCCCCCCCACTTCCAAGCAAGCTAGCTTCTCAGGACGAAGACGGTCAAGGCCGCGTGCCAGTTCCAGAATGCTGTTCCCGAAGTTGAAGTCTTCTGCAGGCGAAAAGATGGTGAGCTGTTCCAAGTTCACGAAATGTGGCAATGCTGTCGCCAACATCGACACCTCGTGCTGAGGCAAGGAATGTGCTATAAGTACTTTGCGCTGCCTGGCATGCTGCAGAAAGACTTCCTCCTGCAGTTGACTCACCAGCTTCGCGTCAGACCGGTGTGTAAATTTCAAGCGCAACCCATCCGCCAGTCCCTGCTCGCCTCGCGCCACCCGTTCCTGAAAAACTGCTGGGGACATGGGAGAGCAGCCATGCAAATTGTCTTTCGTGCTCATCCACTGAACTTCGGCGACACACCACCCCCTTTGGGAGTAAGGCGTGCTGTTCAGGACCAGCTCACTTAGAGGCCTCGCCTCAAACTTTCCAGTCGCCTCACAGTACATGTCTATAGAACCCTCGAGTGACTTCTCGCTCTCGGGGGTCAGCTCCTCCAAACGAATCACGTGACGAATGTACCGATGGGAATACAGCAAATGCATGGACCTCATGGCTTTTTGGAAGACATGCTGTTCCTCCTCGCTGCGCTTGTACTGATACAAGCACATAAAATCAATGAACACCCAAATCTGAAATCCAATCAGTTCTGCTGCAAGTCTTTTCGGTTCACAATGTTGCAGGAGACTCTGCAGCTGCCAGCGCCATGGGTCAGGGTGCTGCTGAGACTCCCGTGTATGTGACACAGAGAAGATGGTCGCATCGCACGTTTTGCCGTCTTTCGCTTGAAGAATCAATCCTGGGTTCTTGCTAACGGGGTTTCAAAGAAGTTATCATGACGTCTTGTTTGGGGATTTGGCTTGAGATACCAGAATAAGGATCAAAGTACGTAATACGGCTCATCACTATGCCAGTTCAAGCTCCTTAACAACCTAGAATCCGGGACGCTGGAGTTCCTCCATCGTCACCAATGCTGTTCGCATCGTGCCATCTGCAGCCTCGAAAACTTCGCTCTCCGCCTCCTGGCGCCGTGGCCAGACACGGCCGGCATCTGCAAGCTTGAAAAGGTACTCTAGTCGCACCAATCGGATGTTGGCATCGACCAAGAAGTTCTGGAGATGCTTCGGGTCTGTCAAACTGTACTCCTTTGCTTCCTCATGCACTGCAGCTGTCTCGCCCTCTGCTTGGATGGAAGACTTCACTGAGACGTTGTCATGCAAGGCAGTGAGGTTCTTGACGTAGGATTTGGCGATCTGTGACGCCGCTTCTTTATCCAGCTCCGTCCGCTCATGCTGCAGTGAAGCCCTGCAGTCCATCGCTCTGGCAGCTTGAGCTCGGGTCTGGGAGTCCCAGCACAAAAAAGTTAAGCATGAAATCTAAGGCCCAAAGGATCCAAGTATCATTATGGTATATACTTACAGGGCATTTTGGGGTCTAAGTATATACTATATTGACGCTTGGACCCTCTGGGAGGTATGAAACAAGAGACCAAATGTTTAGCTGTCATATACCAAGGTACACAAAACTCCAGCTGCCACATGCTTGCAAATGTCAAGAGCTCATGTACCGCGGGTGATGTGTTGCCGACAGATCATTTGCAGTTGCCCGCTTGTGTACTGTAGTAGCTGAAGCTGACAGAAGCTGCATCCACGTTGCCATGCTTTTTAAGAAAGCTCGCATGCCTGAATCCTGAAGAACCCACGTTTCGGGGGTTCCTCCTTACATGATTTCTCTTATAAAACCCTTGAAAAGCAAGGCGTTTCGGTGCAAAGCAAGACCTACGCCCTAAACCCGAACAACCCAGATCTTCCAAAGAGCCGGAACTCAGGAATATACCTTTAGTCATATCTGGGATCCTACCATAATCCTTACCACCCAATGGATTTCGGACCGTCTGGCTACCCTGAACCCGTACGGAGCCTTACCGATTAATTAGATCCCTCAAAGGACCTCGAAACCCTGAACTAAGGGGATTTCCGAAGGTCTGGGAAGCTCGCTTCCGTTCTGACTCGAGGCCCCCCAGCCAATCAAGGGTTTCGGGTGCTATAGAACAAAATTTGAGGCAAGCATTAAAAAGATAAAGGTTTCTTCACAAAGGGCCTTGAAAAGGGCTGCACAAAGGTTCCACAAGAAGTGCTATGCGCGCGTTCAGCGTAGGGGCCAGGCTAGACTAGAAATTCAGTCCATGATGTAGTATACCAATGCGCAAGCCTGAACAATAGCATTACTACTTATTCCGGCCACAATATTGATGACACAAAGGCTCCAAGTGCCTGCATAAGCTCGGTCCAACATACATGGAGTTTCGGGTTTCGGAATCAGGGCTTTCGTACACGTTGTTCGTGTATTGGCTAAGCTAGATTGGTGATGCCTTTCCGCGACCGGTGGGAGGATCCAGCAAGATCATGCCTTGAGTGGGCTCCTATAAAGTACCCTCTGTCAGAAATTGTTGGATCCCAACTAAGGTCTGTCTATCTAGACCCGAAGCCCGTAATTTCGAAGCCTTTCCCAAAGGCTCCATGTACCCTTATAGTAGATACTTAAGGCATAAGGCCTAAGTATATACTATATGGGTACGTGGAGCCTTAGGGTTTTCAAACCCTACACCCAGAACCACCAAAATCTTAAACCCTTCTCCCTAAGGGTCCAAGTATATGCTCCTTATTTATTGTGGTTTTTGATACCTAAAAAGGGCCCTAAAGTCGTCCTTTTATAGGGAGTACTTGGACTCTCTGGGTTATTCCGATTAGGAGATCTACCTTTTTGGGTGCTCTCAGGGGTTCTGGGTCTGGAGGTACTGTTACGGGGGACACTTCCCCAAATCACAAAACAAATCCCAACTGCAGCAACCCCATTCCGCTACAGGGAACTCCAGAAAGTTGGAATATGGTTTCATGGTCGGATACCCTATAATTTACCATAGAAGGGATAGGATAATCATATTCCAACTTTCTGGCTTTTACCTTATATAGGTACGAAGGACCCTATAATTCGAAAACCCGAGACCCTGTCAGAAACCTTTATAATAATTTTTATGGTAACCCTTAAAGGAACCCTCTTCTATAGGAACCCTTGCAATGGCCCTTCCCCTCAGGATCCACGTGCCTAACTATCATATACTCTCCAAAATTCTTACCTACATATCTACTACCCTGAAACCGAGTACCTAATTATTGGGTTCTTTGAACTCTTAGGGTTCTAGATGCTCAGGACCCTTTTGGGTTTTTAGAGCCGTGGATTCCCCGGCCCCGGGGTCCGGACACTCTGCAAAGAGCGCGCAGGCGTGCTGCCACTGGCCTGGGCTCTTCACTCAAAGAGTCCTGCTTGGAGGTTCATGGGTAGTTATAAGGGTTCCGCTTTAAGGGTCCCTTTAAAGGGATCTATATAGGGATTCTATAAGGGTATAGGGTTTAGGGTCTAGGGGCAGTTACAAGTGCAGTTATAAGTAGGGTAACTATAATTGTATCCCGTATTGGAGGACTTATAACTCCACTGAAAACTACCCATGAACCTCCAAGTAGGCTTCCTTTGCGGGTACCATAAGGGCGCAGGGTTTAGGGCCAGTTTAGGGCACTATATACCCAAAGAGTCCTAGGTACCGTTATGGGGTCTACCTTCCCAATTCATGACAATGATCCCTACCTATAGTCTCCATTGTAGTTCCCTTTTTTGGTTTAGGGTTTAGGGTTTAGGGATCCTATAAAGTAACTCCAAAAAAGGAACTACAATGGAGACTATAGGTAGTATAGGAACCCTACATTCCACTTTACAGGTCCTTAGGACTCCAGGAGGACCAGGTAGAGACTGGTGAATTCGACTATGACGGGACGAGTATACTTTTTGATTGAGGTAGCTCCCAAAGGCTCCATGTACCCTCTTAGTAGATACTTAAGGCATAAAGGGGTCCCTATATAGGTACTTTGAGGCCTAAGTATTTACTATATGGGTACGTGGAGCCTTAGGGGCTAATGTATAGCCGGCGCATCCTAAACCCTACACCCTCAACAAAATCCGCCGAAACAGGAAGAAAACGTGTACCACTTAATTGCAGACTTTGTGGCTGCCTTTCCCACAAGCGCTGATAGCCGAGCTGACGGCGATCCTTGGGAGGTATAGGGTCTAGGGTTTCGCGTTCTGGGCTTGGGGTATAGGGTATATGATTCTAAGGGGTTAGTATATGGGGTACAGGTTTTAGGGTTTCGGGCTAGATAATATCACGACTGCCGGAAGTCCCCAAACCCACCGCTCAAACCGCAAAACCTTCAAGCTGAAAACCCGATATGTTGCATCCTAACCCCAAGGGTCCAAGTACCCAATAATCATATACTCTCCAAAATCCTAACCTACATAACTACTATCCTAAAACCGAGTACCTAACGATTGGTTCCCTTGGACCCTTGGGGTAAGTCCTGAGCCCGAAGTAGAAACCCGTCAATCTTGAATCCGACGCCTTAAATCTCTAAGTGCAACTTTCAACCCTGAGCCTCTTAAACCCCTGACACCCTGAAGCAAATACAGGCCCCAAATCCTGAAGCCATGCACAATCTAGAGTTTTCGACAACTGGAATTGGATTCGGGAGATACTGTAGTCTATCGATGCCAAAGAACCAATGACTTCAAACCCCATAATCGCCCTAAGCCCTTATACCGCTAAACCCTACACCCTAAACCATATAGCTGAAGACCGTATACACCCTAAAGCCGAAATCCTGAATACCTTGAGCCCTAAAGCCCAAACCCTATAGAACCCTTAGTAGTATAGCCCTTACAGAACCCCTTATAGTAGGAGCCCTTTAAAGGAACCCTAGTCTGATGATTAAGGCCCCATAACCCATTCGAGCCCAAGGCAAGCCAAGAGGCAGATTCCCAGGCGCCGTCGCTAACACTGTCAAGGCTGCAAGCCAGTGACTGCCTCGCGGTATCCAAGGCCAGTGGGTTTTACATAGGGTTTACCTGTGGCCGAAAAGACCTATCTTTTTAAGGAACTATATATAGAAACCATAACAAGGAACCTACAAAAAGGTAGGCCCTTTCGGTTACAGGTATGGTTTAAGGAATTTCAATCAGCATCGGTCCATGGCTAGGGGGTTTTACAAGGTTTATCAGGTTTACTGAATTTCAACTAGTATGGGTCCAGGGCTACGGCGGGGGGGGGGGGGGGTTATAAAGGGTATACACGTCATATCGTTATATGGGGGGCTCCTATAACGGCCTCATAAATTAGACTAGGGCTTTGGGGCGGGGGGGGGGTACAGGGTACACGGTTTAAGGTTAGGTCTGTAGGGTTTTAAAGGTTCGGTATGTAGGGTTTTAAAGGTTTTTGGAAACCCAAACACTAGGGCAGCGGGCATGGCCAGGGGCGGGGGCAGGGGGTTCTTAGGTGCTACTTTATAAGTAGGGTTATAACTCCAGTATAACTCTACTTATAACCTACTATTATGATTTAGGGAAGTATTCCCCATAACAGTACCTAGGACCCTTTGGGCTTATAACCTGCTTACTAAGTCCCCTGCCCTTGCAAGTAGGTGTTCGGACGCTCCCTCGTTCACCCCCAGGATCCCCCAGGCGTAGGAAGCATTGAGTGAACTTCAGAAAACGGAGCGAGGTCAAGCTCTCCTCCATCAGCTCCACTTCGAACGGTGCCCCGTCGTTTATTCCCAAAGGGTCCAAAGCACCTTTATGGTAGAATGTAGGGTTTCTATATTAGGAATTATTATTATGATTTCGGGAAGTATTCCCCATAACAGTACCTAGGACCCTTTGGGTTTGTTGCTGTCTGACGACACCAGCTCTCCGTTCCACCACTCCATGAAGGTGCCGCCTTTTGGGCATTCGACAATGCGCACCGCGAAGTGCATGAACAACCAACAAAGCCAAACAAAACCACTAAGCGCCACAACGGGGTCAGCATATCGCGAGGCTCATTTTCACTATTCTTTTCAGGGTTCGTATACTGCACGTGTTCTGATACAGGTTCTGGAACTTGAAACGGTTCTTGCATGGTATTACATGGATTCTTACAAGCATACAGGCTCTTACAAGGGTTACAAGGGTGCTTGCAAGGGGTTCTTCTATGGGGTTTTGCAAGAAAATTAAAGTTGTTCCTGTAGGGGTTGATCATCAAGCTTAAGGTTCTTACAACGGTTCTGAGCTGATGCTTACAGGGGCTTTCGGAAGGCTTCTCTTATACCTTAACCTACTTGTTGTAGGGTCACCATCAACTCCTCCACACTAGTGCTGATCATGAGAACCTGCCAGAATGTCTGATATAGTAGCTCAAGGTTCTGGATTCCACGGCTTGTGGTAATGTAGTTGG